GTGTGTTAAACAGTCTTTGACAACACACATTCGAAATGTTCAAATCCCGCGGGTAAAACGCGCAGCCGAAACCAACTTTTTCCTTCTTTCTTACAAGCACCTTCTACTAATTCCGTCATATGTTTGTATTCTCATCACATTTTGTTTGTTTTTTTTTTGTTTTGTCTGTCGTCGTCTAACGAAAGATTTTTTTTTGTTTTTTGTTTTTTGTTTACGATATAAAATTCTCGCGCACTTGAAGAAAGTGCTCGTTTAATCGCTAACAGCACCACACAGGAGGTCGAAGATGAGACTAGACAAAAAAAAAAAACCAGGATGGAAAGAAACACGTACGATCTTCTTCTTCTTCTTCATGTGAGAAACGAGACGTTTGATTACCGAATAAGCACGCGATCGATTTATTTATTATACTGGATGATAAAAGTGGCTATGGGGGAATGGATGTTTGCTCGCTATATCGAAAATCGACACAAAAATTCCAACAAAAAGTTACAACATCAGGCACATCTTTGCATCTCGTTGGAGAGAATTTTACATATACAAAGCTTACACATCTCAGGAGAAATAAAAAATAAAAGAAAAAAAAACCAAAAAATTCGATTATTCCGATATCGAGTCCTTCGTCACTTATTGCGCAAACAAATTGTGAACAAACGAAGAATGTTTATTTTCAAACCGTCATCGAGAGGAAAAAAACTCGAGTTTCCGAGTTTTGAAAATCCAAGTTCGTTCTTTGAAAAAAAAAATAAAAAAAAAAAAAAACTACTTTTTTGGTTCTTACAATTAATATTTAAATCTAATCAATTTTCAATATTCAATTTTGTTTTTTTTTTTATCTACGTCGTGTATTTCTGACACGGTTTATATATTTCGGAAATTGACTTCAACCTCCAAAATGCAAAATCATAATCAGAAATAAATGAATTGCGGGATAAAACGCTGAGCGCACAATATTATATTAGCGTATATAATAATATAATAATAAATAACGATTTCACGCACGTGTGTACTTGTAAATGTGTATATTTTATGTATGTTAATATCACAAATACATATTTTCACAGGAAATATATTAGCATATATTTTACATACGCTCGTATTGGCAAATATACGTACTCACAGTCGTTATATTTTTACTTAAGATAAAAGTAACCAAATTTACGGACACTTTTGCCACTTTTTATTTTGATAATTCCAAAAATAAAAGTAATATAATTTTTTTTTTTCATATGATTTTTATGTCCTACTAATATATTATGTAGAATCATAATTACATATGAAAAATTATATTACATATTTATTCTTATTTAAGAAATTCGTAAAAATAACACGACGATAAGATTTACGCTTTAATTTAACTTATTAAAATAAAACTAAAAGAGAAAAAAAGGCTTTTTTCAAATGATGCGAAACACGATCGCACTTAGAACTGAATACGAATGAACGCGTTCACGTGATAAACGTGTCCGGAAATCAATCCTTTTATCTTATTAGCGATTACATCTCTTCATCAACATTATCTAACAGAATCTCAAAAAACTGTCGAAATCCAAAAAATTTGGAAGTTGCTTCAATGCCGTATAAATGACGGTTATAAAATAATAATTAAAAAAAAAAAACAAAACATACACATTTGCATAAGAACTGAACTTTTTCATAGTTTTGTTAAAAATAGTAGAAAAATATTCACGAATTGTAACATGCGAAACTTGAGCCGAAAGTTTGGTTTCGCATTTATCCGAGATATTTACAACTCTTGAGAGAAAAATATATATGTAGTATTCCACAAATTTGTGTTAATTATATCCTCATATTTAATTTACATATAAATAAACAATATTTATATTAAATTTTTTTCAATTTTTGTCTTTTTTACTTTTTATATCTGAGAGACGGTTTGAAAATAATTTCCTTAATTGTCGAAATTATACGCAATATTGCTCGAGTTTTTTTTTTTTCCCAGGCAAATATCAAGCACATATAAGGGATATACATCTCCTCTTGTCTTTTTTCGCGTTACCCCATCACACATTGGTTTTTTTTTTTTTTTTCTGCAGGATTTTACATCTTAAGATAACGACGATGACGGTAGTGCCCGATGACGGTTTGGTTTAATTAGTTGACGACATAGTTTTACTTTTTTTACGTTTTCTCTTACACAAAAAACACAGATCTTGATCTATTATGCGATCGTTAGACTTATTTATGGTGTATATGTATATCAAGTACGAGTTTCAAAATCTATCACGTAGTACAAAGAGATGATGATGATTATGCGCTATTTTAGTTTATTAAGTTGTATCATAATACCAAGAAATATCAAGACTATAGTTACTATATATTTAATTGATTCGGAAATATGTACGACCAAGATCGCTTTAGCCCCAGAATCAATGAAATCAGACTATTTATTTAGTGTGAAGGGAATAGGGGATGGGCAGGATATCGGTAATAATTGTGATAGTATTGCTGGGGGGTGGGGGGAAAGGGAGACAAGGTGCCGGTAATTTTTAACTCGTTCAAGTGCAGACTTACAGAAGGACGTCATGAAGATTTGGCGATCGGCGCCGATTTTTGTTGTTGTTACTGTGTTTGTTGTTGACAATTCGCAAAAATCTCGCGATTACGTATCTTCCCCTCTCTAATGAAGTTTCTTTAAATACTTTTACATCAAAAATGTAATATGAAAAACTCAATCGCGCTGCGTCGACACACCAAGCCCAAGATCTATCAAATAACACCTCGTTTCGAATCTCGTTTTCTTTTCGTCTATCCGAAGAACAGTAGTGCGAGTTGAATCGCGTAAATTAGAACCTCGCCTGAATTATTCTCGCGCGAGCCTGTGACTTAACCCGTGTGACCTCGTCGCGCGAGTAAAGTATCCGCGCGCGAATATAACACCACCCGCGTCCACCTCTCCGGTAAAAACCTCGCCGTTTAATCGAGAGAGAGAAAGAGAAAGAGAGAGAGAGAGAGAGAGAGAGAGAGAGAGAGAGACAGAGAGAGAGAGACAGAGAGAGAGAGACAGAGAGAGACAGAAAGAGAGAGACAGAAAGAGAGAGAGAGAGAAAAAAAGATTGCTATACACTTGTCACATGTGTGCTGGCTCACATCACTCACGCGCTTTCTTACAAATTCATTATTTTTTTTTTCCTTCTTTTCTGTTTTTATAATATAGCTACGGAGAGTTCTATTCTTTTTTTATGTTTTAAACTCGCCTTAAAAATACAGTTCGGAGAAAATAAAGATATACACATAGTACAGGTACTGCCGGTTGGGTGCGCAAACGACGAGTGCGTCATGCGCAAAACACACCAGCGGCAAAAAACGACTTAACTATCTAAGGGCCTAAAAAGATTCTTTCCATCAACTTCGTTACCTCGTATTAACGTTTCGTGACCACCCCTCTCTCATCCGCGCGCGATTATCCTCTTATGTATATTATTTTATTATAATTATCATTATCGTTATTATTTTATTATTATTATTATTATTATATTATTATTAACCGCCTGATTCCCTTCGTCATCATTTACAGGTATTATTGATTTATTTAGTGCCTTGCAAATGTATTTGGTTCTTTAAATGTTAAATTGCACAACAGAGTCGTCTAACTAACTCCGCGTGATGTGTGATGGCACGCGTACGAGTAAACATTTTTCACAGTTAGGCAACTCTATATGTAATGATTCAAGCAATTTTTTGCATTTACACAATATGTTTGACAATATGCTTAGATTAGTCATTACGTTTAGTTTTAATATATCGAGTGTAACGAAACGCGTAAAATAATCACGTGTGTGTGTGTGTGTGTGTACGTGTACGTGTGTGTGTGTGTGTGTGTATGCGAAATATTAAAAGAAATATTAAAAGAAAGAAAGAGAAAATTTCGATTCCGGAAAGTTTCGTGTTGATTTCTGCTGAACGACAAACAACCACTTCATCATAACTCTCTCTGTGTGTGTGTGTTCAAACTCATGTGGTGGGGTTACGTTAAACTGCGTGTTAAATACATACGTGTCCAGACATTGCGTTCCGATGACGGAAATAAAACTTCGACCCTTTAGATAACAAGAAAGTCAGAAAACGTATACGTCAATTGACATATTCACAACTATTAATTACTTTTTATACATTGCTAACGAGCATCGGTTACTCCTGCATATATCAAGTTGAGCTTTTCACCTTAACCGAGAACACACTTGATGCAGCGATTGGCGTGAACGTTCAGGACGTACAACAGAGAGTTCAATCTCTCAAACTGCAAAACACTTCTTTTTTTTTTCTTTTTTTTTTTTAACTAAGCTCCTCAGAACTTTCCTTGGAACTGTCTGTGTTCTTCTGCTGCACACATCACTCAATTGATTAGCTTTTTTTTGTTTTTTTTACTGTCGCGTTATCCCTTGTTAAATGCGTCCGGTTACGTTTTCCAATTGTGCGGATGAGCTCTCGGTGGTGCCTGATTGTTCTGCGCTTGGGACGCTTGCGATGGAATCATGTCGAGCAGATACTGACGTTGGAGATCGGCGGCCTGTCGTTGCAACTCGACAAGACCCTTTCCACCGGCGGCCTGCGCCATTGCTAGCTGATACGGATACAATATCGAGGTAAAATGCGGCATCATGTGAGCGGGGAGAGGCTGATGCGGCGGTAAGCCCGCTACTGGATTCTTTGCCAATTCTGAAATCAACGGGAAAAGGATTGATCGTTGTTTCGCGCATTTTATCTGACGTAAATTTTATTATCTCTAGAATTTGATGTCGAGAGACAAAAAAAACTTGGACTTTCAACGAGCAAATATCAGGTAATTTTGTGTGATATAATGAATATATATTAAGCGACAACGATTTTTTTTTTATCCGGTAACTTTTATTCAACTTTGTAATGCCCTCTATTGTATATAAATGCATGCAAAATAAACATATTTTACATATTCAAGCGCGACAAATATTCTCTTACGTAATGCGCAATCTAAATGTCATATTGATGTTTGCGCAATTAATTCAACATATTTCTTCATACAACTCTTGTATAAGAACATTTTTAATATCTCGAACAGTTTGAAACGAATCAGAAAAAAATTGAGAGTCCTACTTTACTTTATGAGAAATAGATTTTGTGTCTTTACCTCTGAGCAACTGTTGCTGCAAGGCTGCCGCGGCAGCTGCATGCGCGTTGAACTTCCCGCTTTCAGTCAGTTTCATCAAGGGATGTTCCGGCAACTTCGGCGCTGGAGGTGTCGGCGTCAACGTGGGCGCGGGTGGTACCTGCGGCGGAGGAGCAGGCGGTGTGGCCACTCTTCTTGTAGGAGTGGCTGCTTTAGGAACTGGTTTCGGTGCCGGAGGATCCGGACTCGGACACGGCGCTTGCGCTAACCTTTGCTCTATTTCTTGCTCCTGCTGCAGCGCCTTCACGAAAGCAGTTTTTAACCTGTAACACACAAATTTCATTAGATCACCGGTAACAAAGCTGTAAGTGTAAAGAAATAGTAAAAAAAAAATCCAAAATTCCGTCAAAGTAAAGAGTGTTACCTTGATCTTCTGTTATATCATTAACATTTTTATACATTGACGGACAAACCGATACCTACCTATTCATAATAACATACCGATTTGTATGCTCTGCTTTCAATGCTTTCTTCACGTTAGTTGTGACGCAGTGCTCGCATATGACTCTCGGATCACGACCTGCCGCCGGCCGTTGGAAGGTCGCGTGTTGTCCTCTCGGACTGTCCTTCTTACCGCCAGCCATCGGTTTTTCCCATTTCCAGACTGGCGTGAAGTCCGTCTTGCACTGCGAGCACTCGAAGGGCTCGGGAGGCGGCGGGACGGCCGGTTCCTTCGTTATGAAGTCGACCACGTGCTCCAAACCGACCAAGTATATGAACTCTGTGTTGGAGGGGTTTGGCACGAAGTGCATCTCCGGAGGCGGCGGTTTCGGCGGCGGTATTTGCAACAATGTCTTCTCGAGCTGTTTCCTCAGAGCCATCTTCGCGGCCGCTTGACGTTGTGCGGGCGTTTCCTCGCGTGACGTTCTCTCCTGCAATATCAGAAATACGAGATTACACCTCGTTCGTTGCAACAGGCTGGCACAGCTTTTTACATACAAGACAAGTATCTCGAACAAAATAATACGTATAAAGCATAGAAAATAAGAGCACAGTACTTAGATAAATCAAACACAACATTTATCGTAGCGCTTTTCCAAAAATCTAGTTTTGTGCTCAAAAAAAAGAAAAAGAAAAAAAAACAGATAATGTGTTAGACTGAAGAGATTTGGCCATACTGCACGTTGAGTTATACACTGAAAAGATTTAATATTATTATTTCTCATATGTCTATGTTTAATTATGTTTAATTATATGTAGTATACATATGTGCATATATGCGCACATATTTATTATTATTAGAAGAAATCGTTAGAAGTAAAAAGCGTAGACAGAAAATGAAGTTTAATTGAAAAAAAAAACACAATACAAGATGCGTGAATATGATAAACTGAAAAACAAAGTTCGATAGAGCTGGGTTTTGTGCGATTATACAGAATGAAGAAGCATTACACATTGATCGACGAATGAAAATATACCTGTTCCGAATTCACAGGTGTGCTTAAGGATGCGGTGGTTTTATTTTCTTGTGATCCAGCAAGCAGCTTTGTGTTTAAACAAACACAACAATGAATTATATATATATAAATTGTTTATAAGAAATTAGATAAATTACTTAACACTTTCACGGCTTAAGTAAAATTTGCGTAATGCGATCGCTCGTGTCATGTATATATCTACGGATCGCTGTGATTACGTTATGTAGCGGTGAAAGTGTTAGCAAAACGTTAACTCTTCTTAAAATTATTCCCATTTAAGAATGGTCAACGACTTCTGACTTTCTTAAGCTTTTCTAAACTACAATATCATAGCTGAAGAAAGCTCGTAATAAGAAATGTGTAATAAAATTGTGATTTGTTATACCTTACTTACTTGATGCGCTGGAGTTGGCGTTGGATCCTTCGTGGATCTCTCTGTTCTGTCTGTCGGCGCGTGATAACTAGACACAGTCGACGCTGCCACGGCAGGTGGTCTTCCTCGGGGATGAGGTGGCTGTGGTATCACCATGTTCGGCGGCATCCCCGTGCTCGAGATAGTGTTTCGACCAGCATTGGGAGGCAGTACCAAGCCGGGGGGTGGAGCGTGTAGACTACTGCTTCTGCTCGGTGCGGGCTGACCTCTAAGTAACGGTGGCGGCGCTTTCCCTGTTCTGTAGATCAAAATTAATAATCGTTTTATTCGACTTGACGAATCAATGACGTACAACTATCTCATCATCCTGAACAATATAGTGACAAAGTTTTTTTACCTGTGGGGCACCTGCTGCACCGCTACCGGCGGCGGTAGTTTGCTGGGTCCCTTGCTCGGCACCGCTGCGATGTTCTCCTTCAGCTGTTGGGACTGACGCAGCTTCTTCAGTAGAACGAGTTTCATCTCCTCCAACTTGAGCTCCTCCCGATACTTTCTGAGCGACCTTTCGCGTTCGGCCAACTCGTCCGACGACAGTTCCTTGATTGGCAGCATCGGTGGCATATCGCCTGTTTAACGTTTGACATAATAATAAAAGCGCATGTTAAAAGCACATTTAATTAAATTATTTCTTCAAAATTATTCTCTCGATAATCACGAAACAAAACAAAAGATTTTACAACCTTCGTCGCTGTCCGACGCATTTCCATTTAAATAGCCGTTCATTCTGGATTCGTCTGGACTTTCCGCGTAACTCCTCTCGATTCTCGGTCTGAGATTGCGTCGCGGCTTGCGATCGTCCCCGTGCGATCGCTTGGGCGCCAGAATACCCCGCGCCGCGTTTTGTATGTTACGTGCTTCCGGCAAGTTGTTCTCCAGATTGGAACTAGCGGAGAAATGGACACCCAGGTCCAGAGGAATGTCTCCGGAATTCACAGAAAGAGACGGAGAATTGCGTCTACCGCTGCTGTTGAGAAAACACACACGCACGCACACATACGCGTATGCAGAATAACGATCTACCAGATCTTGTGGAGGTGTGTATGTGAGTTAAACAAAACTGTGTGCGGTAAAAAAAAAAAAAAAAAAAATATATATATATATACATTTACATATGTCAAGCTAAGAAATAAGAACAACCTTCTTCATCCATCACACAACGAGTGATAACAACATGATACTGATAAGAAACTCGCTTGGATTAAAAAAAAAAAAAAAAAGCGGTATTATCATTAATTACCATTGTACACTGCTGTATTTTTCACTTTAAATTTATATTTCGATTTCGCGAAAAGATCACCGGAGGAAGAAAAATTACCGCGAGCATATAAAAATTTTCTTTCCGCAATTTCTATTATAATCGGACTTAAATTTGTTCTTCGTTTTCGCGCGCAGATAAAACACCGCGGTGCGATAAAAATAACAAACGTCTAAATAAGCGTGAAAAAAAACTTGAAACGAACGACCGTACCTGATGCTCAAATCCACCACCGAGTCTCCGTCCACATCCATGGCCTCCATTTTTTTTTCCCCGTTTTTTTTGACAGCGGTCACTCTGCAATCAAACAGGGCGCGCGTGAAGCCGATCAACAGGCACAACAAATCTCAAATCTCCCGGACGATGTGCACGCGTCGTTTTAAAAACCCGCGCTTACGCGTTCAGATGCTTTCGGAGATGATAATCGGTTACGCCGCACAGTTAAAACTCGCTCCGCTCGCTCGTTTTCGCGATATGACAAACGATGACGAGTCGCGTTCTCCGCGTTTACAATGCAATTGGGTTACCGAATCTCTCTCTCGCTCCGGCGCGCATTCTCGTACGCCGCTCGCGGTGCCCGCCGTCTCGCGGCCCCGAACGACGCCCGGGATTGCCGAAGATTCGCGAGAGAGAAGGAAAGAGAGAGACAGAAAGAGAGAGAGAGAGAGAGAGAGGAAAGATCGCGCGCCGATAATTGGGAGCGCGCGAACGCCAGAGACTCTCGCGCGAGAAACGCCACAGGAAAAGCCGCCCGCACGTACGCGTGAAAGAAAACAAAAAAAAAAACAACAGAAAATCGCAACGAGGGTAGACGACGACGACGACGACGACGACGCCGCCACAAATGCGACGAGGAAGGCAGGAACGGAGAGAGCGCGAGAAGAGCGGGCGATCGGCCAATATCTGCGGAAGTAACTGTCCTAACCTAACTTCCACGAATTTAAAGGCGGACTGGATGGCGTATTCAGCGGGCAAATTCTCGGAGGATTGGGAATGGAACACGTACACGCGTAACGAATCGAGCTGTGGTGGACACACAGATGGTGTAAATTACGTTTTGTATCGACGAGGCCCGACGAGAGGAAGACGACGACTTTAACGACGACGACGACGACCACGACGACGACGACGGTGACGGTGACACGACAACGACAGGACCCACGTACGCGATTATGTTCCCTGAGAAACCCGGCGGGAAATCACTCTCTTTGCGCGCGCGCGCGCGCGCGTCGCTTTTTCGGCGGAGATGCACCGATGCCTCTCCGCAATTGAAGAATTGAATTTGATGCCCTCGGAAGTGGCGTCCCGACACAATGGCAGCTAAGCGTAGCGGTACAAGAGAGTAGGTAGGTTGTGCTCGAGGGGTGGAGGAAGAGAAGGAGACGGGGGGGAGACAGGGGGGTCGGGGCGACGAGAGGGGAGGGGAAGAGGAGGCAAGCGCGCGCGGGACCCACCGGTGGGGGAGGGGGCACGAGAGATGTATACACAGCGCGCGCGGGGAGAGGAACGGTCGCACATTAATTATTTCTCCTCTCACCCCTACTACGGGGCCGCGCGCGGCACGCTAGCCGCTCTCACCCACACACGCGACCGCACATCGGGAACGGGCTAGAAACCAATTTCTCTCTTTCTCTCAACCTGTATGTCCGTTTCTCTCTTTCTCTCACACACATTCTCTCGTTCTCTCTGCGCGTCGATCTGTCGTTCCGCGCGCACCCCCCCTTCCCCACTCGCTCTCTCGCCCTTTCTCGCACTTTGCGGATTTTCCCGAATTTCGTCTCCGTACGTGTTTCCCTCTCCCACTGCCACCCTCCCGGACGGTCGGTCGGTCGCTCGCGCGCCCTTATGCCCTACGGGAAATCGATTTTTCGACGCCAGGGTCCCCACTGCCGGCTGCAGCGGCGGCGACGGCGACGGCGACGACGACGACGACGACGATGACGACGAAGACGACCACCGCTGGTCGCCGACGACAACACGGATGTGGCGATCGCTTTTTCGGCGGTTCGTCATCTCATCCAAGAAATTAATCGCGCGTGAGAAATCAACCGCGCGCGTGCATTTCGCGCTCTCGATTTGTTGAAACGCGTAAAATCGCCGATTTCATCGCACGACTGGCGCGATCGCGATATATTTCTATCTCTTTCTATCTATCTATTCCTCTCGCTCGCTCGCTCGCTCGCGCGCGCGTGGATTCTTGTACACGAAACCGATCATATGTCAAGTCTTAGAGTCCGTGTAAGTTTCTCCTCTCTCGGGGATATATCCCCGCTTCGTCTCGCACCGGCATGCGACGCGTCACGTGACGCGCGTAATATTCTCCTCTCGAGAGGTCTCTAAACTCTAGTTGTACGTACGCCGCAAGGATGTCTTTTCTTTTCACCCGCGCGGAGGAGTTATGTCATTTCGCGCGCAACAAACCGCCGTCAGGAAAAACCGACCGTCGTTCCAACAACGACGACGACGACGACAACGCGTTGAAAATTCGATAGCGATGGATAGATAGAGATTGACGGGAGCCGAGGCGACGCGTTCGGCTAAATTTAGAACGACGTTAACAACGAGAGATCGGAGGAAGGAAAAAAAAAAATGATCGCAATCCGCAGAAACTCTCTCTCTCTCTATCTTTCTCTCTCTCTCTCTCGGTGACTCCCAGATTTCGATCGTGTCGCAGACACGCCTTGTCTCGTTTGTTGTATACGTGAGAAAAACACATCGAGAGTTACATAAGATCCGCGATCACTCGTGTTATCAATTAAACAAAAAAAAAAAAAAACAGGAACAGCGTAGCGCCACGGTCGGAATGAGAGATCGATGTTACGTTTGCGAATTCGGAGTTTATATATAATATTATATTACATATAAGTAGCAGCTCGTTCTCGCATGTTTTTCTGTTTTTCTTTTCTTTTTTTTTTTTTTTATCACGCTCGTCGCTCGGCGTAACGACAAATTAGAACAATGCTAATGAAACGGAAATTACGTCTTGAGAAATATATCAGTCTTGAATTTCTGCGAGAGAATTATTATCGAATTTCCCGAAAGAATGACCAAGTTTAATTAACTCGTTGTTAAGTATCAACAGACTCGATCGCATTTTTGCGCGATTTTTTTTTTGTTTTTTTGTTTTTCACATTTCTCATATAGATACGTGTATTTTTTTGAGAGAAAGAGTAAGAATTATATTAACTCTCTTCAACTCCCTCCTTCGTGAAATATAAAACACACTATTGGAATCGATATTACTTAAAATTGCTTTATTTAGTTTTTCCGACCCGTCGATTTTTATTAAATGTGTGCAGCTAAATTTTCACCGAAATCTGCTGCGATGTGCGAACACGTAACGAGTCTAAGTCCGAGAAGTAGCGAACTATACAAAACAACCTCTGGAGGGAGAAAATTATGCACTACCTGCAAGTATATCGCTGCAAGTCGATAGAACGATTTCGGTTAGAGAAAACCCGTTATTCGTGACACAATGGAAAAAGTGTCCGGTTTGAAAATGATTTTGACGTGAATCACTTTTGTTCTCCAGAGAAAATGGAAAAAATAAACAAGGAATTGTCAAAGACAGAAATCATTTCTTTTCGAAAAATTTCCAATTAAAAAAAACATAGAATATTAATTCGCATAAGCTGTAAAAAAAAAAAAAAAATAAGATTCGGACTGAATCGATCGTTTTGCAACTTTGATTACTTAAAAGACAAAAAAATAAATAAATAAACAAATGACCAAAATTCAACTTCTCTCTGTCTGGTAACATTATGCATTTTTTAAATATTACATTTTAATTTTAACAAGATTTTACATATATATCAAACACAAATGTAAAAATACAAAAAAAAAGTACGTGTTTTAAATGTCCGAAGCGAAATATCCCATTATAGAACGTGATCGTTGGAATTTGAAAAATTAAAAAGTATTTACTAAGTATATTCTACTTGTGATATAATTATATCAAATAAGTCATCTAACTTTTAATATCGTTACTCATCGGACCTATATATAGTCTTAATCATCAAGCAAGTGAATTATCATTATAGGTTAGGCGCATACATGACTCCTGAGGTCAAGGTTAATTTTATTTTCAATGAAGTAAATCTCGCTTAAAAAGACTTGTTTGCGCACTTGCGTGCGCAATTATTACATTGTTACGGTACGATGATAATAAATGTTTCAACGCGCACGCATACGTGATGTCGATACGTGCGTCACTTTTCGTTTTTATCTGTACATATACAAATTTACGGTAACACGCGCGAAAAAGAAACAAAAAAAAATCTACCGCGCCCAAAATCCACAACGAGCGAGTACGGCCCTGCACTTCCGCATCCGCCGACCGAGGAAACTTCGCATCTTTTCCGATCGGCGGAGCAGTCCATAAAGAAGACGCGCTGCTTTAACCTCTTTGCGAAAAAGATAAAAGTTTTTTCGTGCCCGTTCGACGGCCACAAGACTTTTTTGAAAAAAAAAAAATACAACACATACCCACTAAGAGAAGGTCGATCGCGGTTAAATCAGCCGCGCGTCGGAGCTGATTGTTCCTTCTGTCCTGTCTCTTCTCGTCACGCTTTTCGTTTGTTTTTTCTGTGTTTTTTTTTTTTTTTTACAAAAATGTCTATCCCTTTGTGACACACTGTGAACGCGAGCCGCACAATAATTAAAATTGTACGGCGTGAAGTCCGGTTTGCCGGTGCGGCTGCACTCTCTCTCTCTCTCTCTCGCACCACTCGGCTCACTTCACTTCACACCTCGTATTACTTCACGAGGAACACAAGACGCGTTAACATGCAACACGATACACCCAACTCCTCGTTGTCGTAGCACTTGCTCTGTTCACCTAAGCGACATGGCGCGCACGCATCACGTACTCGAGGTCAGTGTACACGCGTCGCACTCGGTCACACTTTGTGTCTATCTGTTCGCCTGCTCGCCGAGCGTCGTCGTCGTCGTTGTCGTTACCGCCGTCATTGCAATCGTCGTCGTCGTCGTCGTGGTCGTCGTCGTTCTTACCGGCGGCACGCACTGCTCGCCGAATCGCGATCGCACGCGACGCTTAGCAGGCACATGGCTCACACACCGCCCAAGCCTTATCCTCCCCGTCGTCAGGCGCACGCACGCACTCGCAAGCGTAAAACGTTTTTCTCGAGTATGCCCGAGTTCCGCACGCGTAACGACGACACGGCGACCGAGTTCCCCCGACAGAGGGAGAAATCGCAAGCATGCGCACTGCGCGGACATTAGGCGGCGCGCGCTCGGTTGTTCTCTGTCTCTCTCCAGTCGCGTATATATAAAATTGATAAAATAAATACTTTGTTATACACACACACACACACAACGCGCGCGCGCGCACGCGCTTGCACACACACACACACACAAACACACACACAAGGGATATTATTGTACCGGTTACAAGGAGAGAAATATGGAAAATGGCAGAGGAATATTAACGATCGTAAAATTACGTGTGTTTTAATATTGCGAGTATATAATTATATATATAAAAAAGATTCTTTTTTTAATCGCTAGTTTGTTTCTAGTATATATTTGCGTGCGTCTTTACTTCGTTCTCGAGTTGGTTTTTCTTAATAGCAAACCAAACCACAGATTGCGCGAAATAAAATTTCCGGTCGTAGACTCGGGGAATTCCTATGTGCGGGCGGATTTGTATATATTGAACTTTATCACACATTTTTGCGGAACGCGGGCGGTTGCCGGAGCGACAAAAAGAAGATGGTGAAGAGGAGAGGTAGCAGAGGAGGGGAGGTGGTAAGCCTGCTGTGTTGGCCGCGGACAATTTGCAGCCCGGGCACGCAACCTTGAGCGCAGTTACCTTCCGAGAGCGCACGCGGACGGGGAAAAAAAAAAAAAAAAAAAAACTCGCGACGCCTCTCCGTAAAAATTAACAAGAATGATTCAACATGGCGGCCTTGCTCCGCCGTTTATTGCCCAACTTCTCCTCTTCCCTCGCCTACGCAGAGACTGGTAACCGCTTGCTTGGCCGTCGTTCCCGCGCGTCGCGTTTTCAGATGATTTGATCGGAGGGTGGTGGAGAAGAACCGGGGCGAGAGGAAAAGAGAGAAAAAAAGAGAGAGACAATAGATCCCTTCACCCCTGGAATCCCCGGCGGAGTTCTCGCCGCTCGCGAGCTGACGCAAGGGGGATAAAAGAGTGTCGCCCCGGCTACAACGGTCACAACATCCCTTCTTCTTGATGGATCCTGTGTTGCGTAACAGTTTTGCACTGTTGAAAAACAAATACAATAATACATCTTATCACTACTGGGAAATTTGGTAAAATTAAGAATTATCTGTATCAGACGTGGCCAAAATTTCGTTCTGCTGACAACTCTGTCTCTTTTTAAATGCTACTTTGTTTTTTCCAATAACGCATTTTAATTAGTAAAAGGTATGTCTCTAAAATGTCAGGCAATTATTGACAACAACACATTATTGAAACGGACACATTATTGAAATATCAAAGCATTTTATCTTCAATCGAGTAGAATGGACGTATTCATTTTTTTTTTTTTTTTTAGTTTTATATAATAAAGTTTTTTTATCAATTAAATTGATCACGTTCTTCTTTGACAGACTGCATGTAGGAAGCGAAGAAACAAAAATGTGAAAAGGTCATTTGCAAATCATAGCTATCATAGCTTTCTAAATCTCGCGAAAACCAATGTCGATCATTTTACTGATATCATGTTTTTTTGTAAAAAAAAAAAAGTATTGATAATAAAGATCTTCGATATTATTGTGTCCGAAGCAAAAAATGTTGTAAAAAAAAAAAAAAAAGAATTAGACGAAGAGGAAATTGCGGACCGAAAGTTTGGTCATCTCATTTTGGTCTGATTTTTTGTATAAAATAAAACCACAAATCTGGAGTTGTGTGTGCTTTTATGCCATGCATTATTTATTTATCGACTCATACACGTTTTTAAAAATTGATTCACATTTCCAAAAAACATTTCACATTTCTATTATGTATTACAGAAGTGGCATGAAAAGAAGAATACAGAATTACCTATCGGTATACAATTCTACTTCGGGGAGCTTTGAAAAGTTGAAAGAATACTGATACAGTAGAATAGTTTACACATTTTCGACACGTACACAAAAAAAAAAAAAAAAATAAATGCTCGCTTGTGAGACTACACGGAAATTCTCGATGAATAGAAGTAATAATCGTGTGACAACGCGTTTATCGGAATATAATACGCAGCAACCCGGACTTTTCGCTGCGATGCGGCGGAAACGCAGGAACAACTTTGCACGCGAGTTTGTTTCGACGGAATTTGTTTCTCCCGTTTTTTGAGATATTCGAGGAGACAAAAAATGTCCTTCCGATGATCTTCGCTCTCAAAATTCAACGGAATTTTTACACGATGCGTTTTTTTTTTTTTATTAGTCGGAAAACGAAATACTCGCATTCGCAACACAAAACTCACGTCAGAAGTCGAGAAAAATTTTGCGGCAAGACGTATACTCACGGATAGAACGCTAGGAATTTTCAATCATGCACGAAGCTATCTTTTTCTGCGAGAGACACGTTCGCATCGCGCATGTGTTCGAGTGCAGTTTTGTTTTTATTTTCGTGTAGTCTAAGAACGAGCACGTGACCGAATCGAAAAAACAAATCAATACTTTTCTGTCTCTATAACTATTGTATTTTTCTGCATTCGTACGATGACTTAACGCGGCGACAACGACGCGTTGGTTGTCATTTTCCCCAATGTTAAACAAAAAAAAAACATTTTTTCTCTCATTTCCATTTGTTTAATTAATGCTTTATTATCGATTTCTTCACAACACTCTAAAGCTACGAAAATAAATTTGACAGGCAACAATGGTAAAAATGTTCAAAAAAAAAAAAAAAAAAAAACAAACAAAAATATATATATTTCTAACGAACGCAAATAATTAAAATAAATTTGCGTGTATCCAAGATTTTTGTGCGAAGTCATTGACCGGTTGTCGAAGCGTTAAGTCGAATCCTATGTGAACGAAGCCAAAAATATGAATATAGACTATAATTTGTTATCTACTATTTAATTTTATAATGCATAACGGCACATATAAAAATTAAAACGCGTATCCACGATGACCATCTCGACAATTGACGGCAATAATAATAATAATAATAATAATAATAATAATAATAATAATAATGATAATAATTATAGTAATAATAATAATAGTAAAGTGATAATAATAATTGTGTAATAATATATCGCTCTCTCGAGATGACAATTAAGAGATCACCGCCTCCGTAACAAATTTTCGCGAATATAGATCTCTCGTTCACGTAGAAAAACAATTTACACTAATATGCTAATATACATCTCACTATATAAATTTTTTTTTTTTCTACCGCGCCGTAATATATCCCCCAGAAATAATTGACTAGATCTCGAATCTGTGAAAGGACTCGTGGTTCAAAAAAAAAAAAAAAAAAAAACTAAAAAAAGCGCGATATATTTTCGTGCTCGTGTCATTTCCGTACGCTGGAAGCCCTTTTTGAGAGAAGAATTTTGTATGGGACTCAAAGCTCCGTCTTAGAGCTTGTCAGATAAGCCGTTATCTATCGTAAGACAAATTATGCACTTCGTCTTCTGCATAACGATCGATTCGGGACGATCACAGTTCGTTTTCGTAAAAGCGAATAGATTTTCAATAATAACATCGAATATAAAACTTTCGCGTTATTAAAACATCACGAGCTCTTTCTCTCGTTGGAGGTGGTGCGATCTCTTAATTGGTTTCGAGAAAAAGGTGCGTTCTCGGTTCTTCTTCTCTGCATATATGGTTCCACGGCCACGAGAGTGTGTGCAATTGAAACGCGCGTCGAGGGCACATCGGGGGTACAGCGCGGCTCTCTAACTAACATCGATAGTGCTTGGAAAAAATTAACGCACGATTTTTTTTTTTTTTTTTTNTTACAACGGAGCTCCGTGTTTTTCATCTCGACCGCGGCGTTTTCGTACCGCGGCTGTTCGCGGTCGATCGCGGTTGTTCGTTTCTTTTTTTTTTGTTTCTTATTTTTTTTTGTTTTGTTTTGTTTTGTTTTTTAATTAACGGATTACAACAACGAGCACAAAGAGACAGCAAAAAATTGACCGACCTTTCGCGATCCCTGTATCATCGAATTAAGCCGCGAATAATGAAGAATTTATTTTTCTTTCGTTTATATAAATCGCGCGAAGCCTCTCTCGTCAGCGCGCTCATGCACACTTGTTTTACAACGGGTTACGCATAATAAGGACGAACACGCAACGTACATACATATACATTGTACAATTTTTTTTGTTTTTTTCTTTTAAATCTCGACACTTGCTAAAAGTGAGACAATTATACTCGATAAGTGTATATGCGTGTGACGCGATTGTTATTGGAGAAAAAAATATACGCACACGCACACACACACACACGCACACGACGCACGCACGCACGCACATATGTGTGTATGTGTGTGGCGTAGTTGGTTTTATATTTTCGAAGATGCGATGGTCCAACGTCACAAGCAACAACGAGTGAGACTTCAAAGATTCTATGCGCCGATGCGCGTCGAAAAGGAAACGCCGCTCTTGTGTTGCGGCATACAACACATCACACACAACAACCCTCCGTTTCCCTTTCCCGTGCAACGGAACTACGCCTGAATGAGACTCGTCCTCTCTCTCGAGGTTAATACATAATATACGGAGGACGATCGTTCTCGAAGTCGCTTATGTAGGCTTATGTCCGAAGAAAAAATGTATCGCAGTTAAGACGATTATTCTGTTCACGTAGGAATTTCGAAGCGACTTTTCCTCGGCAGTAACGATTTTTGTCGTATTTTTCTTTTTTTTTTTTTTTTCTTTTTGTCTTTTCTTCTACAATACGCGCGATCGGTATTGTCTCATCGAATTTACTCGCAATCGAACGAGATTTTCGAGATAATCTCGCGGAATCAACGTCGAGGAAAAGTCGAACACTCTTAAAACTCTTATCTCTCTCTCTCTCTCTCTCTCTTTCTTTCTTTCTTTTCCTTTATACATTCCATCAACATTCCAAATTTACATCTTCACGCACAACGCGTATTTTCACAGCACGTCGGTTAATTGGGCGCGCGCGCACGCACGCACGCACGCACGCAC